TTAAAATCTTAGCTCCAATTTAATAAACTTTGACTTTAGAATACAAGTTGATAGATCATAATTAGTTGAAAAAATAATTACCTTGCGCAATCATTATGGGAGCCAAATACATGATATGGACTATTCAAAATATCTTGTTTTAGGAGTGCAATTTTTCATTGTGGCTGAGATTCAATTCTTTCCTAAAAGCTATTGCCTTCGTCACTGCACATCTATAAAATATTTAGTTTCTAGTACATCGGTTTAATTATTCATAAAGCGTATTACCTTAATTTAAGTCGCCTATCTTTTAAAATTTTTCTCAAAACTCCAGGTACGACCATCCCAGAGGTACTCTTTCGACGAGTGGACATATCCACAATACGGTTACAGTAATTTCTTAGAATGTGGTTAACACATTCTATTTTTTTAATAAACATATCTGGTCCGTAAGGTTTAACCAATGATAATTTTTTCATGACACTTGAGTCCCCATCACCAATAAGTTTATTAAAAATTACGTTGTGCATTGACATGCTTTGACGAAATCCCTCAACAATTATATCTGCTTCCATCGAAGTAGAAGTTCCATCCCAGTTCTTGAAAAATTTATGAACGGCGACTTCTTGTTTAGTGGATTCAGATTTTTGACATACAGCACAAAATTTGTTACGAATTCCCATAAAGAGAATTTTTTTTGTTCGGTACCCAATAATTGTTGCCTAAATAAATTCATTTTTAAAGTTATTTTAAAAAAAAAATAACATTTATGTATTAGTAGAGTATATTCGTAAATTTGTGTTTTGTATATTGAGTGGAACGATAAATTGTTTGTGTCTGATGAATACAAAAAAATGTATAGGTACATTTTTAACTGCAAATATTCGTGATTTTGACGAACTTTGTTATATTTTAACTTCAAACACTTATAAAAAAAAATTGTGAACATTTTTGAATCGCTCGTAGATTAACTTGTAAAACTTCCTATTAAATTTTCAAATATTTTGACTCAGCCAAAAAATTTTTATCAGCATTTATGGCATTTAAACAAAATGGCACTTTCAATAACTGGTGGAAGTTTAAAGTTTCTACGACTTATGTTTTATGAATTTTGTCAAAATTCGATCTTTAAATGCTTATAAAAAAAAATTGTGGACATGTATTTTTATTATTTTTCAATTGCTATTGTAACAATATATCAGGAGCCCTGTATTAAATTTTTACACTTTTTGGCCAAACAGATAAAACTTAATTGATATTTATATAAAAAAAAAATAGAAAAAATTGAAAGCTTTAAATGTCCGTACACAGCTCAAAAAGAGTCAAAATATTTTCAAAATTGTATGGTGTATAGGAAATTCTAATATAAACATTCAGTGAAATTTTCATGTATCTACAGTTATTTGTTTTTGAATTACAACTAAATAAGGAAATCGCTACATGAGAAATCCAGTGAATATCCAATTTTGTAAAAATTTGAATTTCAAACGCTCATAAAAATGTAATTTGACTTTCTTATAGACATTTTTTTTTTTTGATAAACGTAGATAATCTTATAAGAAATCTTGTATTACATTTTAAAATCTTAGATTTAAAAAGAAAAATTTTTACGAATTCTTAACTCAAAATAATTTGCTAAAATTCGTGATTTTTCCATATCTTGTCAATTTTTGGACTTTAAATGCTTATAAAAAAAACCGTGACTAAGGATTTTTAATATTTTTTAAATGCCATTGTAACAATATAGTAGGAGCCTTGTATTAAATTTCCAAGCTTTTTAAACCAACAAATAAAATTTTATTGATATTTTTAGAAAAAAAAACTAAAAAAGAATGGAAAATGAAAATGTGCCTAAACAGTTCAAAATAAATCAAAACATTTTGAAAATATAATCGTGTATAGAAAATGCTAATATAAACATTCAGTCAAAATTTCATGTACCTACGGTCATTTGTTTAAGAGTTGCACCAAAAATTAAAATCGATTTTCTCGAAAACTGATTTTGCGTAAAAATTCCCGTTTTTCCTTAATTTTTCTTTTGTTTTTCACGGCGCTTTTGAAAACTACTGGGAAATTTTTACTTTTGACCCCCCAAAGTACCAACTAGATTCACTTCCTACCAGAAAAAATACTGTTGAAGAAAATCCAAGCAAATTTACTGTACTAAAACGTGATGACAGACACAAAAATAAAAAATAAAAAAAAACACACATCATTGTAAAATCAATACATTCTACATTCATCGTTCCACTCAGAATCTAAAATCGTTGTTTTACATGATTTTGTAAAAGTTCAAATTTCAAACGCTCATTAAAATGTTGGTTTTATTCCGGTAGATTTTTTTTACAGATATTTAAAACCTGTGGATAACTTTGTACCAAATATTAATAAAACATTACTTACTGCACCAGAAAGAGCATTGTAGTTACTTTTGTAAGATCTTTTGGACCATGTACCATCTGCTACAACTGTAACTAGTGGTATTCCGTCTTCATTTACGTTATTTTCTTCAATTGCAAGCCTAGCCTCTTCCTTACCAGCCATTTCCATTGCTTCCAAAGATGCGTCCTCGGTGTATTTATTTAAGTCATTGTGGATTTTTTGGTATAATTTATTACTCATATTATGCATATTTAAAAAAGCTGAAAATGTGTCTAGTTGTGTATACCCTTGTCCGGTATTTACAATTCCCGCCACTATTGCTGAATTTAAAGTCATATTATCAGGATCTTCATTTGTAATTACTTCTTGTTTATTACACAAATTACACTTAAAAATGAATTCAGAAAAGAAACCATTTCGAATTTCTTTTACAAAAATTAAGTTTTTGAAAGTACAGTCAAATGGGTGGTGATCAATATTTTTAATGGAATCAAATAAAAACATGATATCAACTAAACGTCGACCACTACATTTCGCCCTTAAAAATATAAACGTTAATTATAATTTTAATTTTTAAGTTTACCTATAAAATAACAAATACTTACTCCACAGGTATTGTACTTGTATTTGTAGATATTTCGCCAGCGCAACTATTTTTAATTTCTTTTTCAGCCACGATCCGCGTTTGATCATCATCTTTGCTATACAACATAATATAAATAAATTAGAATGAAAATAATTTTTCATTTTTTGAAAACTTATTATTCTACGTTATAATACGCACTCTTGCGAGTAACTGCTACAAATAAATTCATCAAAAACAGCATTTGGCGCACTCAAATCTGAATCCTGTTATAATATCAACATAATAATTTTTTCATGAAAATAAAAAAAAAATAAAACATCTAATAATCGGTCAATAAAATTAAGGTACTTACCTGATCATTATAAATTATTGTGTTTTTTTTTTTTAATAAATTGTTTAACTTCAACTTTTTAGATTTTTTAGACTTGCTTAAATATCGACGGTTTTTCGATCCATATCTAAAATCTTTCTTATCCATTTTTAAGCTAAACTTGTAATAATAAAAAAAAATACACCAATATCTAAAGAATTAGACAGCTACTACGAATAACTAGTAGGTCCTATTAGACAACTGCAAGCATAATCGTACAGTACGAGCGAACACTAAAAACACATTACAGCAAACATACCAAATTATAAATATCATGAAATCTATTTTGATTCACTTAATGAGTGTCATTAAGTAGTCTGGTGGTTACGCGCCGGCATCGAAAGTTTCCTGGAAACAATCGGTGGTTCGCACGCGCATGCACATGTCACATAAGAAAATATTTGTTCCAACGAGAAACTAAATTCAATCAATTGAGACCTAAAAGCCTGACAAAAATACGATAACTTAGAATGATCGGATTTTAGTTCTGTAAACATATTTGAATTCATCGTTCTTTTTTCTAGGTTATTGTGGGAGTCGATTTTTGAATAACTGTTTGACTTTTTAAAGAAAGACACAAACAATTTTCAAAAAATTGAGAAATCCAAGTATGATTTAACGTGAAATCTAAAAAAAATATCGAAAATTGATTCCCACAATAACCTAGGAAAATTGTCAATGAACTCGAATCTTTTTACAGAATTGAAATCTGATAATTCTAAGTAGGCGTATTTTTGTCAGGCTTTTAGGTCTAAATCATGAAATAAATACGCTGGATCGAATCCCCTTAAGTATATTTGATACTGTGTACAAGTATTAACATAACTCCAAATTGTCAAAATTTATTTATTTTTTGTTATATGATTATTATTATTTTATACTTAATTTAATTTTGTTTTTTATTAAATACTAGCTGATCCCGTGCACTTCGTCGCCCGTTAAATGGATCAACTCAATACTACCTACTCAAACTTTGTTCAATTCATTAACGTGTATGGTGTTCAAAATTTATCTTATCTTTCCCGTTGCCCTGGTAAGCATTGTTCAATAATTCGATTTGATGCAAGCTTGTACCTGATCTGCCCGAATAACCAATGGCAACCAATAAATAAATGCTAATTTCTAATGTAGACTGTAACCAATGGCAACTATAAATAAATAAAAATAAAATTTCCAATTTCTATCGTGAATCTCAATGTCCCTGTTTCAGCACCTATTTAAAATGCGAATTTTGGCAAATCCTTTCTTAGCGCACGTCTATATTATAATAGCTATCTGTATGCCAAATTTCAGCCAGATCCGTCCAATGGTTTGAGCTGTGCGTTGATAGCAGTCAATCAGCTTACTGTTTTTTATATACAGATATGGTTGCCATGGTAATATGGACACACACACACACACACACACACACACTGACATACATTCATTTTTATATATATAGATTGATATGAAATCTTGGTAACCTTAGTAACCATGGCAACCTTGGTAACCATGGTAACATGGACACACAGACACACACACTGACATACATTCATTTTTATATATATAGACTTATTGAGTGTATGTTTTTATTGACAAAAATGATATAATATGTATATATAAATCACTATTTCGATGAAAAAAATGGCAATAAAAAAATGGTTTCAAAAAAGTAGAATAGTTAAAATAAATTTGTAAGAAGAATTAGAGTTTTCGTAGATCCAATACAAATACCTGCAAAAAGAAAAAAGAAAATAAAATAATTTTGAACACTTGTTGTAAGCTTAAGTTATTGTTTTAACTTGTAGTATATACTAGCTACGTTTAACAATACTAGGATAGTTCACAATTATATAAATCAGTAACTGTATATCATTAAAAGTTATAATATTGGAAAAATCTACTTACTCTTCCATCAGTTGCACTTGCCCCAATTTTGTCACCCTTAGAATTCCAGCAAACATCAAAAATACCACCTGTTCCTTTATAACTATGAACTAATTGACTACTCTGAAATGAGAATAGCAGAATTATTATTTTATCCAAGAACAAAATGGAAGTTGACTCTTGCTTAATACATCTTTTTTATTATTTCTCATGTTGTCATATAAATAATAAATATTTACTTGTGTTGACCATATGTGAACATAATTATCAAAACCGCCAGATGCCAAAAACTTTCCATCGGGTGAGAAGGCCACACTATAGACAGGTTCATTATGCTTGGTTAGAGTTTTTATGCATGTACCTCGCTCAACATCCCACAAACGTACAGTCGAATCAAATGATGCACTGGTTATATTTATAGTAAATAATAAACATTAATTATTAACGGTCTTGTTATGACATAAACTAATTATTGTACTTACCTAGCCAGTATTAGATTCATGTTTGGATTGGATGTTTTTGGACCGGTTGGACTCCATTTGATTGAATATATTTCTTTTGTATGTCCTTGTAAGTCATGCACCCAAGTATCTTGTGTCATAGACCATATCTTCAAAGTCATGTCATCTGAACAAGAGGCTAATAGTTTTCCTTCAGGATTCCATTTAATTGAATTAACTTCATTCTAAAATGTATTTCATTTAAAAGTAACTCAATATTTGTTGTTTTTAAACGAGAAAAAATGATGGTGCCTTAATATTATAGAATGAAAAATAGATACCTACTAGTTGATATAATGAAGAGATAATAATTCATAAAACAGATTTGAATTTTTCATCAAGTCTACTTGAAATCAAATTCCACACATTTTTGATTTTAACTTCTTCAAAAATTGAAATAAGATAATTTTTTAATTAGGTACTTTTTTTTAATATAATATTTTTAGGAATTTGGGGGATAATGTCAAAAATGTGTGAAGTTGATTTCAAGTAGACTTGAAACAAATTTAAATCTGTTTTTAGAATTTATATCGCTTCATTTGTTCAATTGGTATGTTTTGCAAAGCACACGTCAAAATCCTATGTCGCACCCATGATACCTGATGGAATCCCCTTAAAATAATGTTTGCAGTGTTTGTTTTCTCTTTCTGGCTTACTTGCAACAAAGACAAAACGCATTTAAACAGAATCATTTTTTTTTTTTAATGTTTTTGAGTAATCTTAGATTAAAATCACCCATGACAAAAATGTTAGAGAATAATGTTTTTGAGGCTACAACATATCGATTTGTCTACATATGATGTCAGAACAACTTAAACATTATTTAAATGTACATTTTTTTTTTAAGTCAAATACAAATGATAAAAACAATAAAATATAACCGATAATATGTCAAACCCTCAAAATATTATCCCCTGTAATTTTACTCTAAGATATAAAACATGAGACTCAAATACATAAAAAAAAAAACCATTGTACGTATATGAGTTTTGTCTATGTTGTGCATAGGCTAGAGAGAAAGTAAATAGTGCGCTGACATCCTATCAAGTAATAACTTACTGTGTGCCCTTGGAATGTTTTTACTGGTCGATCAACACCTAAAATACAAACATGAATAATCTGATCAACACTGCATGATGCAAAACTAAAATTTGATTTCCAATCTACATCAATTGCTGGTGCCGTATGGAATGCAAACTTCTGCTTACACCGGCCTGATACAGAATCCCAAATAATAGTAGCCTAATATAAACAAAAAAGAAATCATGAATCAATAGTAGAATGGATGTAAAATATGATTATTTACCTTATCAACTCCGGCACTGAGTATATAATTTCCATTTTTATTCCACTTAATAGCTAAAATTGGACCGTTATGTTGACCAAGAATGCTTGATATTCTGCCATCTCTATTCCAAATTCGACCATAACCATCATATGTACCAGTGGCTAATAATGTTCCAGCACACTAAACATAAATAATAACATTTAGTAACAAAATAAAATACTTATTTAAAATGTAGAAAATAAGTTACATACATTCCAAGCAAGGGAAATTACATCTTTATTTCTGGGTACTACCGTAGTTCTTCTTTTTTGAATACAATGTCTCAATATGAATTGAGAAGGACAACCCATGTCCGTCATATCCCAAATACGCGCTGTACTATCTGCTGATCTATAAATTAAAATGGTTCTGAGTTAAAAATATAAAATGCAAGATGACCCTTGGATCTAGGTTTTAAGAATTTGTAGTATCTATTGATGAATATATTATTATTAGGTATCTAATACACAATTTAAAATTGTTAAGTAATAAATACTAATGTAACAAAAGGTGTTTTAATTATATAATTACCCAGAAGCAAGCAAATCAGTGATTGGATTCCACTCACAAACAAAAACTTCGGATTTGTGACCCGTGAGAATAGTAGATTTTTCAGCAGGTATTTCAATATTGCTATTTACTTCCATTGTTTCAGTGCTCTGCCGACTGGCTACAATTTTTGGCATATCTGCATCAATCAAAGAAAAACTCTCAGTTAGACTCGTCAATTTTGTGGAGATCTAGCTTCAGTCATTATGAATCAGCAGTGCGACTGGCAAATGCACAATGCCTAACCTAACAAACTACCTAAGTAGAAAATTCCAAGATAAACAAAAACTGTATATCCTCTTTGGAATATTCTTATCGTCTTTGAAGATGAAAAAAGGTCGAATGGATCTCCGCAGGAAAACCTAACCTAACCTATATAAAATATGAGTATTTATAACTATAAACGATAAGGCAGTCAAAATACGTCAACCAACAATTTAATTTTGAAAAAATCTCATAATATAATTATAAAATATGTAAAAACAAATGACGAAAATATAGCGCGTTGAAGTGAGTTGTTATAATATTAATATGTTTTCCACGGATATTATGTCGCTTAATACGAGTGAAAATATAAGAACAACAACAACACGGGTGTGAACAACTTTACTCCATTACAGCGGGACGAACATCGCGAGAACGGTACCAGCAGGCGGAAGGAAATAAACTGCAGCGAGTCGAGCAGAAACAACTAGAAGCCGAGAACATCGGACGCGCGGACCGTTGCTAGTCAAGGTTGCACGAACAGTCATGGAACAATACATTACAATACATACCACGGTGATGGCGGAGTATGTTGCGCGGGGTCAGCGCATTTCACTATTATTTCACGTATGCCCCGTACTTCCCGGAGACCGTGTTCAAGGCCACAGCCGCAAGATTCGGCGAATTTTCGTATTGTCATACCTCTGCTACAGTGGGCCGTCGGCGAATAGGGACAATACCTAATATTCTCCGACGGCTGAATAAAATGCATTATTTATATCTGTATATAATTTTGCATTACATGTTCTAGTTACACATCTCCAATGGGTAGAGCCATCTTTTTACTAGGTAGTTGATTCAAAATAGAATTAAAAATGTTTATAGACAACCAAGCGTCCACCCTTTTTACTTTCTAAAAATTCTAATAATATAAATGGTTAAAACCGGTATTAACCGAAACCGAAATTTTGGATTTTTGAGAGCCAAAATCTAAACCTATAAAATCATAAAGATTCCAGTTGCTGCAGTTCAACGTAAATGCGTTATTTGCGATATATGTCTATTAGTATTCATATATTAGTAGGTATTTGGTAGGTTTATGATATTATAAAAGTAGTAAATTTGAAAATATAATGGTTCTATTGACTTAATAATATGCTATAATGTGTACTACACTTTCTTCTATATACAATTTGCATTATATATTATTATGGTTTGTAATTACCTAAATTATTCAAGTGTTTTTAAATGTAAAACACGAATATACAATTTTATTTCGTGCCCCGACTTAATAATTATTGATTATAATATGCGAGGATAATATGATAGCAGGGGCGTAGCGTGCATGTAAGCACTGTAAGCACTGCTTACACTTTAAATGAAAGAAAAAATAAATTTGATCAATCACGACTAATAGGTACATAATAAATGATTTTTAAAATTTTAATTTTATTTATAAAATATTTAAGTTATAGCTGGTAGTGGTTTTTGTTATTGTGTATTTGTGTCGTACGCTGTCTACTGATTACCAACTATTTTAAGAAAATCATCGATTTTAGGTCTATTTTTAATCTATTCTGTATTATGTTAACTGCATAATCATAATTCATAATACGATATACAGTGTAACACATTCTGAAATTGCTTACGCGCAACTGTTATTTTCGAATAGTCTATAATGCCATGGTGGGGGTCACGTATTTAACTAGCGTTTGTAAGCACATTTGATTTTGCTTACGCGAGAAACAAGGAGCGACCTGACGTAGCCCGACGCGTTGTACTGTTGTAGACTGTAGTCGTTTTTACGTACCTACACTGTCACTGTCATTCGCCTAATAGACTATTGAAGTATTTATACTTCAATTTCTTTATTTTCTCGAATTTGATTTGTACAACTAGTATATTTTTAAAAATATTAAAAATTTTAAAAGGACAACATTTTTTTATACATAATTTATAATTAGGTATTTAGGTATAGTACCTATATTCTAATCACTTTTGAAAAAAAAAAATTCACTGCTTACATCTTTTTAATACCCACGCCACGCCACTGTATGATAGTAAGTAAACGTAGGTACAAAATGACACAATAACATCAACATCTCATCCTGTATAACCATATATATAATTGTACATCGTTCAGTGGCGGATCGTGGGTGCTAGTGGCTGGGGTGCGACTTTACATATAATAGCGGTAGTCATAGGTATAACAAATTATTTAAATATACGAACATTACATCTTACTAGTGGCAGGTCGCAGTAAAAAATGGAAATTAAAATAATAATAATAGCGATTATCAACAGACAACGATGTTAATTTTAAAAATAAATTACCCAATATAGTAATATATAAATATTTTACTGTATGCACAACGCTGCCGGTCTTCCAAACCCATATACGTATAATATCGCAGCTTAAACAATAAACGTACCTGCAGGCACACGAATGCAGCGCTTCGCTTATACATGCGTATTAAAAATATTGCTCGGTCGTCCAAACACTGCACCAGTGGATATTTTAACTAATATACTGGGCGACAGAAATGTCACCTAAAGGAAACTTTTTGTCGCCTAGTAGATGATAAATTTAATAACTGGGTGATAACGATTTTTGTAAAAATGTCGATGTTTAAAATTATTATATAATTTTATTTATTGATAAGTTATTATGTTTAATATTGTTATTTATTTATGACATATATAATTTAATTTGAAAAATAATTATTGAGAATGAAAAACCCATGTGATTGTTCACCGTAGCCAGTAGGTATCCATAGAAATATAGAATAATACAATGAAAAAAAGCGCGGCAAGCGACAATGCGCCATGTTTCTTCTAGTCATCAGTCGTCCCAGAAAATATCTAAAAATTGATTGTTTTTGATTTTATTTTAGTCCTTGATCCTACAAACTATTAGCTAAACAATTATTTCACTTTGAACCTTTAAACAGTTTAAACATTCAAGCTTTTAAGGTACCTAATACATCATACGATACTACGACAGGACGACTTTCATCACTCTTGGTACCTATGTATAAAATAATTTAAAAACTAATATTTTAAACTTAGACTTTTACATGCGTACAAATATATGCTCCTGGTATCTGAGAGAAAAAAATTTAATGTTTGCACACGACAAATATAATAGACAAATAGTAGGTAGTTGGTAGCTAGGTAATTGTAGTAGGTAGTTAATTTATAACTATTTTACTGTTTAAAAATTTGAAATTTTATCATAAAATATTTCTTAAAAGTGTAAAACTAAGAATATTAGGTATACAATTAATTTTCTCAATTGAATTATTTTAATATGGGTGCGATCGCGTCCCGTTGTCCAAACCACAAGCCGCCACTGATATGATGAAATTTCATCAAAACTGGTCCAGCCATTTAGGAATGCATATAGGACACACACACAGACAATTATTCATTTTTATATATTGAAAGATGATACAATTAGAAAATGGCTGACAAAATTGAAAAATTATAATTATAAAAAATGTTTTGCAAACACTAATATTATCATACCTGAAAACTATTTGTTGACAGTTTTTTGTTCGATTACTGAGCAGTGAGCAAGACATTTACAGTTCACCACTATATACTATACAGCATATAATAATATATAACATTGTTAAATAATTGACATTTCATTTTACAGTTGGAGGTTTGTTTCAACTTTTCTTAATTTAAAATGTATGTTTGACTAAATGTTCATTTACAGCCATTTTGTAATATTTTGTTGTATTATTTTTTTTTTTTTTAGATTATTAAATTTAATGGTGTTGGCAACTAGAAACGAAAAAAAAATAAAACTCCTGGACACAATCTAAAAGATTGTACATAATATGAACACTTAGCTTAACCGATTCTTGAAGATATTTCAATTGTAATAAAAAAATAATAAGAATAAGAAAAGTACAAGAAAATTGATTTGCCATATTAAATGTCAGTTCTTATCCAGCGTTTGTCACGGATAGGTGTTATTTCGTTGTGCTCCGTTATCGCGATTTTATTTCATATGAGCCAGTGCATTGTTATCTTAGTTTTAAATTGAATTTAAACCTCGTAAAATATGCCCTCTACGTGCCTGAAATGCTATGCGGATTTAGCTCAAAATGATGATATACTTGAATGTTCGATATGTAAAGGTATTAATCATTATTACTGTGCGGGGTATACTGAACATAATTTTAAGAAAATGTCTAATAATACAAAAGCTAGATTCACCTGTGAAAACTGCCTAGTTATTAAACAAAATTCTCCAAAATCGAATAACCCTGATAGAAAAACAGGAGCAACCTTAGAAAATAATATTCAAGAACTTACAAGATCTGTATCATTTATGAGTAAGCAATTTGATAATTTTAATGTAAAACTTGATAACGTAATTTTGGAATTGAAAAATATTAAGATTGAAAATGAAAAGATTAAATCAGAGAACAACCGTTTATCTGAGGAAGTTGTTATATTAAAATCTAAAATCGATGAAATTGAACAATTTAATTTAGGTATAACAGTTGATATAACTGGAATACCAAAGACTATACATGAAGATTGTAAGTTAATTGTTGAAGATATTGGTAAGAAAACGAATACGGAAATTAATATACTGGAAGCTTACAGAATTGATTCAATTATACCTAAACGTAGTATCATAGTCGCCAAATTAGCCACTCGTGACATGAGGAAAAATTTAATTCGTAATGTGAAGTCCGTCAAATTAACAACTGATAAAATATGTAACAGTTGGCAGAAAGAAAATATTTATATCAATGAACGTCTTACGAAATTAAAAAGAACTCTCTTCTATCAAGTGAAAACAGCTGCTAAAGAGAAAGGTTACAAATTTATCTGGTTGTCTGACGCAGATATTCTTGTGAGAAAAAATGAAAACACTAAAATTATTAAAATTAAGTCACCTCAAGACATCAATCATTTATAGTTAGTACTTATAAATTTAATTATTATGTTATTACTATTTAAACAATTTTTTTTTTCCTAATTTGATTATGAATTTTAACTTACATAATATTGATCACCTCCTAAAACTAAATAATGTTAAATCTACTTATGTAGATTCCATAAATAATATCGTTTTGCATAAAGGTGATTTTTCCATCTTTCAAATAAATATTAGTAGTATTAGCGCCCATTTTAATGATCTAGCAATTTTATTAAGTTCAGCTGAAAGTTATTTTGATATTATCGTGTTATGTGAAACATGGCTTTTAAATGACTACCAATTTAAGTTAAATGATTATAAAACTATTAATTCTTTAGGTATTTTTAACAAAAGTGATGGAGTTACAGTCTTAATTAGACAATCCATTCATGTATTACAAATTGAAAAGCAAATATTATTAAACTGTAATTCAATACAACTTATATTTCAAATAGACAAGTTAGTATTTTCAATTATTTGTATTTATAGATCTCCAAATGATAACTTGGAATTATTTCTTAAAAGCTTAGAATTAACTTTACCTCAAATTAATAAACGCTATAAAAATATTATTTACGGAGACATAAATATTGATATAATGAGAAACTCTAATATTACCAATACATATTTAAATATTATGGCGAGTAATGGATTTTTGCCTTGCATTAATGATTGTACTAGATTAACTAATCATTCAAAAACGTGCATTGATCATATTTTTGTTAGAAACATTGATTCTAATATAGTACTATCTAATATTTTAAGGTGTGATATAACTGACCATTATTCTACAATTTTAATTATATCCAATATTAATAATTATGAAAAAGTTACTCGTAACAATTTAATAGTAAATAAGATAGATATTAACCACTTTAATGTATTAATTAAAACTGAGAATTGGTATTCTTGTTTGAATTATGATAATGTAGATGATATGATAAAAGTTTTTAACTTTAAAATAAAAGAATTTATAAATTATTCAACTATTTTTAAATATAATATTAACAAATCAAAAACAAAGCGGAAACTCAAGGAATGGATTACTACAGGTATTGTAACCTCTATTAGGAATAGGGAGAAATTATATACTAAATTAAAATCTAGACCTTTTGACATTAAATTTAAGCAATACTACAATTTGTATAGAAACATGTTAAATAAACTTGTACGCTTATCTAAACAATTATATTATCAAAAAAGATTACAGCGCGCTCAATCAAATTCTAAACTAGTTTGGAATATAATAAATGAGGTCACCGGAAAACCGAACCAAATAGTTAACGGAATAAACAAGATAAGAACTAATAAATTTGATATTATTACAGATTCTAAAATTGATATCTGTAATGAATTTAATGATTTTTTCGTTAATGTAGGTAAAAACTTAGATATAGAACATAATATTAGTACAAATATTTTACCGCCTCAAGATAAAACTGACATTGATGACAGTATTTTTCTAAAACAAATTGACAAAGACGAAATTATTAAGCTTCTTAGTAAAATTAAAAATAATAATTCTTACTTCGAAAATAATCTGACGAATTATGTACTCAAAAGTGTTTCAAAATCTATTGCTTTGCCTTTATCTATTATTTTTAATCATTCTTTATCAACGGGGAAGTACCCCACAACCTTTAAAAAATGTATTGTTATACCCTTATACAAAACAGGAGATAAATTATCATGTGAAAATTACCGTCCTATATCATTATCATTAACTTTGTCAAAGATTTTTGAAAAATGTATTAAAATCAGAGTACTTGATTACTTAGAAAAGAAATCATTTTTCTCAGTTTCACAATTTGGTTTTAGAACTGGTTTGTCTACAAACGATGCTCTTTTCCGGGTTGATAACTTTATTAGGAAAAATGTGGATAATAATTTTAAAGTAATGGGTATTTTTTTGGACGTACAAAAAGCATTCGATTGTGTAAATCACGAATTATTATTAAGAAAATTAGAAAATGCTGGAATACGAGGAGTTTCAAATAATCTTTTTAGATCTTTTTTCAGCGATAGAACACAAAGTGTTAAATGTAATGATATGTCAAGTAACTCTCTTAATGTATCTTGTGGAGTTCCACAAGGCACTGTATTAGGTCCTTTATTATTTGTTATTTTTATAAATGATTTATTAAAACTAAAAATTAATTCAAGTTCCGAAATACTAAGCTTCGCTGATGATACTGCTGTTTTATTGTCCGAACCATCAGTTGATATACTATTTACCGAAGCCAACAAATTATTAAATACTATTTACACTTGGTTTTGTAAAAATAAATTAAAATTGAATCTGATAAAATCAAAATATATTTGTTTTGAACTGCAAGCATCGAATTATTCAAATTGCTTGTTAAAAAATAACCTTATTGTTCATTCGTTAAAATGTAATTATCATCTTAGTTCAACTTGTACTTCTAAATGTAATATTCTTGAAAAGGTAAATGAAATAAAATATCTTGGGATAATTGTTGACTTTAGATTTAAATGGGAAAGTCATATAAATTATATTAATAATACTTTACGTAAATTCTTCTACTTCTTTAAAGAAGCTAGATACTTACTTAATAATTATTATAAAAGAATGATTTTTCTTTCACTAGTTCAATCAATTTATTCCTATGGTATTTCTATTTGGGGAGGAGCCGCAAATAATGTTTTATCGAAACTTATAGTTACTATTAATGGAATTATCAAATTTTTACTTAATCTTCCCACGACAACTAGTACATTATTGATTTATAAGGAACTTAATGTAAAGCATTTAATATGCATTTACAAATCATCGGTTTTGGTCGATTTATATAAACATAAAAATTTAATTACATTGCTAGATCACGAGCACAATACGAGATATAAAAAAAATTTTAATATACTGCTACCTAACCTGAATAAAGTATTTGGTCAACATAGTATATTGTACACGGGTTTGAAATTATGTCGTTCATTAAATATTAATATAAACAACTTTGAAAATGTGTTAATATTTAAAAATTATGGTAAACATTTAGACCTATCTACTATCTAGTTTGTAATAGTCAAAAGTTATAATAATACAACTATTTTTGTTTTTAACTTATTGTTATTTAATTTATGTTGTATTAACTGTTATTTTATTTTGTTTGTGATGTATTCATTTTAAATAATAAGAACCGCGCCCCCAGCACAAGCTTTGATTATAGGGGTGCTGCAATATTTAACTCATATTTTTTGTAAATAATGTATATATTCTGTTGTTGCAATAAACATTATTATTATATTATTATATTAAATGTGTTAAGAAAAATTTAATTTTTCAAAATCAGTATCGCAGACGTTAAAGGTTAAGATAATGACACAATACAATTTCAACAATAATTAACAATTAGGTTCTGCTGTGTGACTATGTGAACCCCAATAAACTGTGACCAACCATTAGTTTACATTTTAGTTGTTCATCACACAAGAACAAGACATTGTTGTCTTTCTTTTTGTATAAGAAAAGTAGCATTACGTCGATTTGTACTCAATATATTTATAAATACAATGTAGTTAGGGGGACAGAGTGGCCGAGTGGTCTAAGGTGTCGGCTGCGAAACAACCGACCCGAGTTCGATTCCTTGACCACGGGCGGCATTTTTCTTCGGACAAATCACGATGTCTGGAGAACAAGTGCCGCAATCCCCCACCAGGCATGGCAGATGCCTACGGGTGCCCTATCAAAAATTCTGAATGGCCATAGTCGCTGACCTTTAAAGATCAACAAAAAAACAAAAAAAAATAAAAAAAAAAACAATGTAGTTAAATTATAAATAATAGTACATCTATATTATAATATTAAAAAAAAGAATATAATCTTTTGATGTAAAAAAAAGAGAGAAGGCTATAGAATGTTTAGTGTTGGAAATGATACATTTGGATATTTCTTATTGATTTACAGGAGTGAAAAATGTATTGAAGATTGTTACTATTTTAGTACGGTAATCAAATAAATGCATGATCTTCTCTCTGCCAACTATAACTATTTTCTGGAATTTGCTTTGGCGGCTTGTGCTCGGACACGTTTGTAATATTCTTTACGATTTTTACTAAAAAAGTCATAATAATAAACATATAGTTAACATTTTTTTAAAACTTATATTTTATATTAAAAAGTAATTACCAATACATATTAGAGGCTTCAAAATGAGCAGGATCGCTGATGTTTGGTTCATTTAAAAGTTGTTGCATCCCAAACAATAACTGTTTAATAGTAATTTCTGGGTGCCAATCTTTATCTTGGTCCAAAAGTGATGAGCAGACTAAACCTAGTAAATCATGAATAATCAGGATTAATATTTTCAAATTATATTATAGATATGAATAGTTAATATAGCTTATATTATATTTACCAGAATTGTGAATATTGGGGTGGAATAATGCAGGCTCAAATTTGCATTGTGGTGGATTCAATGGATAACCGTCCCCGAAAGTCATACGTAAGAAATACAATCCATTTTCCCAAGGAGTCTTAAAAAAAAATATTAATATTAAAATTATTTAAAATGTAATAAATATACATACATCAGACATTTTGATGTTTTAATTCTAAACAGAACATTAAATATATGGGTTCTAGTGTTTTTTTTTATATATATTTATATATAGAATTATTTATTTTTGTGTCTAAAGACACATAATAAAAGAAAAAAAAATGCTCCAATCCTAAGCTTCAAGAGAGGTTTCAGGTAGCAAATTAAATCTACTATAAACTTGATAAAAGTCTCCTTTTCCAGTACTTTTCAAAATAAATGGAATAAAACAAAAAAAAATTATGAAAAACCTATGTAAAACTAGAATTATTACACAAAATTGTTTTTGACAAAGTCGATGTTGTTTTAGTATTGTGATTCAAAAATAAATAATCACAGACTTGAAATTTTCAATGCACAAGTCAATTTTAAAGGTCCATAAACTTTGAAACAAAATTAGAACTATAATTACAAATATAAAAGATATTCTCAGAAATAGGTAAATTTTGTTACAAATATCATGGGGCTATAAAATGGAATTGTACATAGCAGTCCATGATAGTTATATTGAACAAATAAAAGCATTGAATAAAATTTGAAGGAGTAGTGTATTAATTATGGCCTATTGCATTAGCATCTGTCATCAAAGTGTGAAAACCATACAATTTTACAATATTTGGCTCTCTTTTTGATAGTATATTAAGTTGCTTTCATACTTTATGTAATAAACAATATGAATTTTATGAATGCAGAAAATCATGTTTAAAAGTTATACAAAATGGTTTTAACTATATTAATTAATTTATATAAAATAGCTAGGGAACAGATAGGTATGCTCAAAACTAGAAAATAATATTATGTTTTTAATTTAGTGAACATATTTTTGGTACCTGGAAATCACAATCAGACACAGGTGTACAATGAAATAAAAAAATGTTATTAATACTTACACCTATTTTTCCCGGTATATAGCATTCCCAAACCATAAGGTTCAATGCGCCATCTTTAGTTTTGGCTGGTTTAGCCACAAAACCCTTGAGATAGAAAAAATTGTTTAAAATCATTACATGTAGACATTTAGTATTTTAAAATATATTATTACTCACAAATGCAGGATTTTTTCTCCATGCCTTTCGTTCTTTTAACAACCGAGTGACTCCGAAGCCACTCATTTTTCTGTAAAAAAATAATATAATTTCAAGACAATTCTTCAAGTTAAAATACAAACACATATATTCAAAAATTTACAGAAATTCTATTCAATAATCAATTAACTGTGGTAACTATTTTATGTTAACAATACATACTGTATTATGGGACATGTACTCATTATTTATGTATCTGTTTTAAACATTAAGTTTAAATATCATCTCTAGTCACTAGTTTTTTAGTATATAAATTTATAATTTTGTTAGTGGACAGTTGGACAGTTTAAATTCAAAAATTCTTTGATGTAGATTAGGTTAGGTTACTTAATATATACTAGGTTGCTAAACTGGGGAAAAATTAACTTGATAATAAAATGGCTCCCTTATTGATGACATAATGTTTTCATAGTACATGTTACGGTGGTAAATACAAAATATTATATTTTTGAATTTTCAAAATTGAATAACTCATAACTACTGTTGCACAACAACAAATAGACATATTTGATTGCGATTTTTGGTAACCTATTGCCTATTGGTTAACTAGTATATTATGTGCAAATTGTTAAGTTATTTGATCTCACACTGTAGAGTTAAATCGTTTTAATTATTACAAAGCGTGGAGTGACTTCGGACAACACATTAACTATGCCCAGATCCTAAGTCAACAAAGTAGTTGACGCTATAAGATATAAAAAATTACAATACGACAAGTAAAAAAGCTGGCACATGCCTGCCGAAGGACCTGACCGTCAATAAGCTCCGACCATTCCTGTTGTTTATAACATATGACGTCATATTAACTTAGCGTCTACTTGTGGGACAGAACAAGAATTGAAAACAACAGTTTTAAGTGCCCAACGATAAATCTATCTAAAGTGTTCAATTACAAGTAAACTGAAAAATATGCAGTTTATAATAACCTGATATGTACACCTAACCTAACCTAAGTGTACGTAAGATTTGCTACTTATTTAAGCGTACGAAATACATCTGTCTGAGTAAATTAAGTATCAAAAAACATTTTGTGAGTAGTCCGTCGACAAATATTCGACTCACATTCGCACTCAGTGATATGGCCACCTTAGGAGTAAACGTTTAATTCAACACATCGCTAGTACATCAGATCTGAAATATACATTTCTACAAGACAGAACGCATAATATTATAACTAATCACAAAAAACTGGGCTTAAGCTGAGGTACTCTGGAAGTCAAATCGATAAACATTGAAGGGAAAGCTGACAAAGGTGCTGCGATTAGACACGAACGCCGTTTACCGTAACGCGCGACAAACACGATTAAACAGCGAGTAAAATTAAAGTAACTTACGGATTGTCTGATTCAGACGGAGTGTCGGAGGATTGTACCCGATATGAAGAACCGCCAAGTGGACAACCGCGGCGCACGAGCAGCCGATGTAAAATCGAAACAATCGACGAACGTCGGTGTTAAAGCCTGCTGAGGATATCAGTCATCAAAACGTCACCGGAAATCCGAGATCTTGGTAGTTGGTACAAAATGGGAACAGCAGGCCCGATGGATACGGAATACTACTAAAAAATAATACGTCTACACCAGTACCAGACGGGAATCAACAAAGACCAACGAATTGTATGAAAAAGGTAGTATGAATGATGGGGGGGGGTAGTAGATACCAGGAATTTATTGGGCAAACAATTAAAAGGAACGCGTAGTCGGGCCTGGAAACAGTGTTGCCGCGCAGAGGTTATCACAAACGACAGTGTTGCATAACGCAATTTTGCAAGTTATTTCATAATTTAATATTTCCTTATAATTTATGACGAAAAAAAACAAAGACTGTTATTTCCAAGATCTCAAGGATTCTAAATTTTGACTTATATCGGTCATCTGGTTCTAGACTCCCGACTAAAAAAAAAACGAAATATTCTAGGCTGACGCCAAAACAGTGTCAATAATTTGGCAACATGGTTATAACGGGACGCCGCACCGTTGCCAAATTTCCCAAATTCTTAGTAAACACAAGGAAAACATGTTGGCCAATGATGAACTGTTGTAACTTGTGAAGGTGAAATATCGAAATTTACGATGTTTTAAACAAAACCAGTTGGATGTTGAAAGCATCGTTAAAGTTAGGATATACGATCACAAGAATAATTTTCTGGTTAGATTCATATGTAGGGCTGCGCGGTTATTTTATATAATCGATAATTTTAATCGATTAATAGATTAATCGATTATTTTCATACTTTATAAATTATTTATATAATCGAAATTCGATTATTCGATTTTCTTATAAATAATCGAATAATCGAAAATAATCGAAAACAATCGAAAAATTAATTATAATCGAAAAATTAATTATAATTGAAAATAAACTGAGATTTATTTATAAATTACAGTGAAAAATATTTTACGAATATACCCAAGATAAAAATATAAAATGTTCTCGTTAGCGGTCAAGGTCCATGGTATTGTTATTGGAGTATTTATATTTATAGCTTAAATATCTCATTTACCACTATTATAATAATATGAACATGGACGAGTTTTGTGTTTATTTTTAAAATCTGATTGAATTATTATTAATAAAACGTCGTCTATATAAATATGTTGTTATTCATCTCACAAATGTTGAATTGAACGGACACACATTTTATTTGTGATTTGTTATTTGTGAGCACGTTTAGTTTAGTACGACAGTGACGGAAAATGAGTATTAACTTCACTATTTTATAGTCAAAAAAGGTAAGTACCTATAGCCGATAGCTTATAAACCTAAATATTATTTATTTTCCTTCGTATCTTAATTTAAACATAACTAATAATTACATACTTACTTATTAACTTAATAGGATTCGTTAAACGAACTAACTGTTGTCAAGGATCAAGATGAGTGAAGTGTGGCAAGTTTTCACTAAACATGAAAATGGAATTAAAGTTATTTGTAAAGAATGTTCTGGACTATACGTCAACTCCGGTTCAAATACAACCAATCTATGGAACCATTTGAAATTTAAACACAAAAAGAAATATATCGAACTAGATCGACTTCGAAGAGGAGTATCTGGTCCTGAAGCTGCTGATCATCTTGAAGTAGCAGATAACGACGCTGAGTAAGTAAACAATTTGCATTTATATTTTTACTGAAATCACTTCACCAAAATTTGCGAGGCCAATATTTCACTGAGCCGTACAATATTTTTTTCTTCTTATTTTAACAATTGAAGACCTCAGAGGCCAGATCAACAAATCTCTTAATTTTATTTTTTGTGGTTGATATCATAAGTTAATAGTATTTATACTTTGAAAATAAGTGTAGGTATAAATGTATAATGATGTAGGCCAACGTGCAATGATGTAGGTAAATTTACAATTTTTTCATATAATAACATTAGTTTATTTAATTCGTACTCATAACAAATATATCTAATAAATATATGTACCTATATCATATCTTAGTGCAACAACAATACTTCTCCTAGTATTATTTTTGATTTAGACCAGCGGTTCTCAAACTGTGCTCCGCGGAGCCCTAGGGCTCCGCGAGATTAGTCTAGGGGCTCTGTGGCTCCCTGAGAATATCTGTATTAATTAAATTTAAATTATTAAATTATTATTATATTTCTTAGTTAAATTTTTATTTTTATAATCAATACTATTTGGACCGTACCAATATGTATTATTTTAAACATTTAAAACTTTAAAATAGGTATTTATAAATCCACATATGTCATATTTTGTGTCATTGTCAAAATGAGATTAGATAAAAGTCGGGTTTTTCGTTCATTTGACAAATGGTACGATAATTATTTAGTTTACTTATCTACAATAGCACAATCTACATTCTACGAAGTTCTAATAATTTCTTGATTCTTCAGTCATTACTCGTTATTCATCGGCCGCTGACGCAAATATTGTTATTTCGGTGTTTATTTCGTATTACGTGTTTCCTATTTTACCATCAATTGTTTTTATTGTTGACAATTTTTTTTTGTGAATAAAAATTTAAATGGATCGTTGGCTTAACAAATCAAGAAATACAGTGGGATCATCCTCATCAGATGCAAATGAAAATAAATGTGTCACACCGAATAATAGTGCGAGTTTAAAAAGAGCAAATAGTCCACCTAACAAACAATCTGATACAGGGACATCTGCCACTACAGTAAGTAAAAGAAGAAAATATGACGAAAATTATATCTCTTTTGGTTTCATACATGAAAATAGTTATCCACAGTGCGTTGTATGTAGTAAAGTTTTTCCGAATAGTTCAATGGTGCCAGCCAAATTGCGCCGTCATTTGGAAACTAACCATACAAACGTCAAAGATAAACCTGTTGATTATTTTATTCGATTGCGTGATCAACTTTTAAAGAATAAGAACTTTATAGCTGAAGTAACAAAAACGGAAAATGAAAAAGCAACAGAGGCATCTTATATGGTCAGTTATCGTATAGCTCAGACTGGTAAAGCTCATACAATTGCCGAAAATCTAATCAAACCTTGCGTGACTGATATTGTTAGTTGTATGTTAGATGAAAAGGCAGTCAAAAAAATAAATACTATTCCGCTTTCCAACGATACCGTTAGGCGTAGAATTAACGATATATCAACTCACATAAAATCGGAATTAATATCTCGTCTTAAATGTAATAATTTTGCTTTACAAATGGACGAATCCACTGACGTTTCTGGATTAGCTGTATTGCTTGTATTCGTTAGGTATAAATATCAAACTTCTCTTGAAGAAGACCTCTTATTATGTCAACCTTTGTCCACTTATACAACTGGTTATGAAATCTTCAATATGTTGAACAATTTTTTTGAAATAGAAGGATTGACTTGGGATAATTGTATTGATATTTGTACAGATGGAGCGAAGGCAATGGTTGAAAAAACTGCTGGCGTGGTTTCGCGAATTAAAGAAGTAACCAACAATTGTAGTAATAGTCATTGCATTCTTCATCGTCAAGCACTTGCTATTAAAAAGATGCCAATACCTCTTAAAAATGTACTTGATGAGGCAGTGAAGATTATAAATTTCGTAAAATCTCGACCATTGAGCACAAGACTGTTCACAATTTTGTGTGAAGATATGGGAAGTATGCACAAATCACTACTTTACCATACCGAAATAAGATGGCTTTCTCGGGGAAAAACACTTGTACGCTTACTCGAATTGCGCAATGAATTGTACGTTTTTTTCACCGATCACCCATTTAATTTACAGCTCAGACTTAGTGATAAAATTTGGTTATTTCGACTTAGTTACTTGGCTGATATTTTTACAAAATTGAATGAAGTGAACTTATCAATACAAGGTAAAATGACTACCGTTTTCACGGCAAATGACAAAATTCGAGCTTTAAAAAAAAAAATTAAATTTTGGGCTGTGTGTTTTTCTCAACATAAAATTGATAGTTTTCCTTTGTTAAAGGAATATTTAGAATCGATTGATGGTAATATTGAAGATTTTGATGAAATATATGGCGAAATTGAACAACATTTAAATGAAATACTATCGTCATTAGAAAAATATTTTCCAGAAAGTAAAGACATAGAATTTATCCAACGATATAATTGGGTTAAAAATCCGTTTTTAATCAACGATAAGCCCGAAGATTTATCTATAACGGAGTATGAAGAATTTATTGAAATGACCACCGATTCATCTTTAAAAACTTTATTTGATAAAATATCATTAACAGATTTTTGGTGCAGTAGCAGTATTACTAACGAATATCAATCTCTGGCTAAAAAAGCTATCTTAGCACTTCTTCCTTTCGCAACAACATATCTATGTGAAACCGGATTTTCATCATATGCATCAATGAAAACCAAATATCGTAATAAATTGGATGCTGAAGCAGATATGCGTATTCAACTCTCGCCTATCAAGCCAAATATAAAAATACTGGTCAATAAAAAAAGCCAACATCACGGATCACATTAATAAATAAATAAATTGCTAAAATTTTATGTTATTTTTTTCTAATTAAATTAATATTAATTGAATAATTTGTATATATTCGTATTTTACAGAAAATAAAAATAAAAAGCAAATCATTTACAATTGGCATCATTTTTTTTATGAATTTTAGTTGTCTCATATAGACATTTCTGATTTTTGGGGCTCCGTAATTTTTTTTAGGAATATAAGGGCTCCGCGAACAAAAAAGTTTGAGAACCGCTGATTTAGACAATTTGTCACTGGTTGCTACTTAAAAGAATTGAAGATGAATCTAAATATATTTATTGTTAATTTTTAAAACAGTTAAAAGTGATACCTGAAAAATTATATTAATTGGAGAGGTCTTGTTATTGCCCTGAAGCTTCAAATAATTGACAACTTTTTGCAATCTAAGTAAAAACAACAGCAGCCTCATAGTTAAACAGGAATAATTTTTAAGTTGGATGGTCCAAAGTTGTACAGCCCTATTAGTCATATCAAAACAAATTTATAACACCTTTTATAGGGTATGGAATCTATACTTCCCACCAAAAAAAAATCCTGAAGTTTTTGTTTCAATAACTCGTTGGTAGAGTGCGCAAAAGTAAATGTCAATATGTCACTAAATGCAGAAAATTGTGTAGAATAATTATAAATATTTATTTAAATTATTTCTTTATTTAGTCAGTTGTCACAACATTTTTAATATTATTTTTTTTCCAAACTTTTTAATAAAAAAATATGTATACTACAATATTTTTTATTCATATTTCTGTTAGGTATATCGATGAACCAATTTCAACACAAACTTCTTCAAATTCAGAACTAGATTTAAATCCATCAACTTCAAGTTTTGGGCAATCTTTGGTTTTTGATTCTCTTACTCCTTCTACAAGTACTATTATAGAAGATTCAAGTTCAAACATAACATATAAGCAAACAAAAATGACTCAATTTACTCTGAATAAAACCTCTAAAAATAAAACTGATAACGCTCTAGCCTACTTTAATGCTACAAGTATGACACCCTATAATGTGGTGGAAAAAGAAGGTTTTAAACTTTTTGTAAATTCTTTAAATCCTAGTTATAAACTGCCAAGCCGGAAAACAGTAACAAAATCTCGAATTCCTAATCTTTATATAGAAACAAGCAATAGCGTCGGAAAACTGATAAAGAGAGCAAATTACCTATCTTTTACTACAGATTGCTGGACTTCGAGTTCAAACAAACCATTTATCGCAATGACATGTCACTTCATTACCAATTTCAAATTGGCCTCCGTCTGCTTGGGTTGTATTGAGTTATCTGAAAACCACACTGGAGATAATATTGCAGATGTCTTACTAAGTTAAGTCAATCCATAATGTATTTGCGCATAGCTGGAAAGCCGTAAGGGAAATGGAAACAGTTCAAGAAAGATTTAGCCTACCAAAAAAAAAAATTACCTTCCTATTCCAAGACTAGGTGCTGGTCGATGTTAGAATTAATTAACGTTATAATTGAACAAGATCTGGGACTTGCTAGTTTTCTTCGAGCCTATAAAAATGGTAACCAAACAAATTTAATTTTTCAAGAGTCTGATTTTATTTAGTGTATGGTTTGTGGGTTACATGCATTAGAGTTATAATATGGTAACGTATAGTAAATTTAATTAATATATAACAGATGAATAAAATAAAAATAAATAAAAGTAAAATATGAGAAAATATGAGTAATATTAATAAGGTAACAATAAGGTATTAGAGATCTAGTTTTAGTTCCTCCAGGCATTTAATACATTTTGGAGGGGTTGTGAGGCAGTCGATTCTGGGACCTTGGTAGGCGTGGATAGGATATACAAAAGTTATATGATACATGGTCTGCTTCTCTGCTCCACAGTCACATTCTGGTGAGTCTCTCATGCCCCATTTGTGCAAGGAATCTGCACATCTACCGTGCGAAGTTCGTATTCTATTAAGTGTGCACCACAGATTTCGCTGTAGGTCAAATCTTGTGGGTTTATGTCCTGGTGATATGTTACCTAGGATGTTGTCGTTCTTTGCCGCGGCTGCCCACGTTTGTTCCCATTGCGTCATCATGTCGAAGTTTGCGTTGATTAGGTCCTTAGCTGTTTTTGGTGGGGGGTTTCTAGACTTCACTCGAGTTTTGGTCGCATCATCAATAAAATTATTAATAGGCAGTTCATGATTGAGATTTATTTTTGAGAGCTCTTTAACTAAAAAATCTCTGCGAAGTGGTGGGGGGGGCAATTGCCGTTAATTGCTATTAAAGAGTCTGATGTTATTATATTGAAGAACCTTAAATTAATTTTACAACCGATTCGTGAAATAACAGACAATTTGGCAGGTGATTCGTATGTGACAGGCTCAGCAATACTTCCAATAGTTTCTTCTCTTAAGTTGAAATTATCAGAAGTGACAGAACGATCAGACACAGATTTGAACAGACCACTTATTCAAAATATGTATTCGGCTATCATTGATGTTCTGGATAGGCGCTATACAAACAATACAATTTTAATGATTTGTTCAACTTTAGATCCCAGGTTTAAAATTGAATTTATAGCACATGATGATTTATTTGAGTTAAAGGAAAAAATAATTAAATTATGAGAAACAATTTTTAAAAATAGTACAAATGAAACATCTGATACAAGTCATTAGTCTTTATAGAAGTCAACCAGATGTACAAAAAAGAAGAAAAACAGGATTATTTGCAATTTTTTGTGTTCCAGAAGTTGAAAATGTTCATAACTTTCAAGTAATAATTGCAAATTTATCTTAATAAATACAAAACACTTAAACAACTATATTAATTTTGAATGTTTTCGAATTCAGGAAATTACCATTACCCTAAGAATAAAAATTGAAAGTGAGTTAAACTTATACCTTACAATACCAAAATGTAACTTTGATCAAGAACCATTGGAATAGTGGAATATGAACAAAGATACATATCCAATGTTGTCTTTATTAGCGGAAAAAAGTTTGACAGTGCGAGCTACAAGTGTAGCATCTGAATGTGTGTTCAACAAAGGTGGCTGTATTTTAACAGATCTCAGACCATCATTAAGTAATGAACATGCAAGCCAACTTATATACTTAACAATGAATAAAGATTATGTCCCTAAGCCAATATTTTAAATAAACATTTAATTTAATTTTGTTATGATTTTTCAATACAGTGTTTTATTTTATTACTTATAAAGAATTTAATTTAATTTTAATTAATTTAGTTCCAAAACAAAATGGTCAAGATGATCTATATTGAATAAATTTACTATGTAGTATACTATAGTATGTACTAAGAGTTGAGATGATCATTGTTATTAGTGTTCTGTTGTAGTAAATAAATAATAATACAATAAAAAGGTTTTACAATTTTTTCAAGGAACAGCGAAATAAATTAAGATTTTTAAAATTAATTTTACTGTGTAAACTGTGTTAGTTTAATATGCAGTATATTATGGTGACAAGATATACTCTTTTTTGGTGCATGAAATTGTACTTTTTTTTATACAAATCCTATGGGTTAATACATGAAAATTATTTTTTATAATTTGAATATCTATAATTAATTAATTTTATGGTTTAACCTAATGCATATTACTTCATGCAATATAATATTTTCAATTTTGTCACTTTAGTATGAACTTAAAAATATAGGTAATTAAAATTACATTTTTATCATATAGGAAAACATATTAATAACGTTTTGTACTTAGTTTTATTTTTCCAATAATAATAATTTAAAATATTTCTTTAGGTGTTTTGAAGTTTCAAACTATTTTCAATAAAAAGTTAAGCGACACAACTAATAAGTTGATATTGTAATGAAATTATTATTTAAAATAATTATTTTTTATAGTTAATAATAGGAATACGTAGAAATACTTAACAGAGTAATCAGGTGTTACTATGAAACGAGTGGTTGGTAAGAGTATGACCTATAATTTGAATATTTATAATTAATTAATTTTATGGTTTAACCTAATGCATATTACTTGATACAATAAAATATTTTCAATTTTGTCACTTTAGTATGAACTTAAAAATATAGGTAATTAAAATTACATTTTTATCATATAGGAAAACATATTAATAACGTTTTGTACTTAGTTTTATTTTTCCAATAATAATAATTTAAAATATTTCTTTAGGTGTTTTGAAATTTCAAACTATTTTCAACAAAAAGTTAAGCCACACAACTAATAAGTTGATATTGTAATGAAATTATTATTTAAATAATTATTTTTTATAGTTAATAATAGAAATACGTAGAAATACTAAACACGTTGATGGACAGTTTCGTAGCCGCAGTGGAGAAAAAACGATCTTTAAAACGTCAAATTTTATTATTGCTGTAGCAGTAATGCTTTTAGTACTGCTGTAGGGTTTTATGCTACAGGGCAGTGCAAAATTGTCCACTAAGATGTCGGGGGACACAACAATCTATCACATCATACCACACCATTGAAAATAGTGATGACAATTTTTGGTAGGTTTTTATGATACTGCTATAGCAGTAATATTGAAGTGTCCCCCGACATCAATTTTTTAAATTACTTCTATGGCAGTACTGCCCACCAACGTGTTAACAGAGTAATCAGGTGTTACTATGAAACGAGTGGTTGGTAAGAGTATGACCTATGGACAAAATGGGTAGAATAGTATACACATAGACCAATTAACTCAATAGAAAGGGTTTTTTATGAGAAAGGGGAGCAACATTTTTTTGTTTTTATATTTGGTCAGTGCCCAGAAGTGTCCATAAATATACTGAATTGAATTGGATCTGTTTCTTTTTATAAGGAATATTTAAGTATTTAATATTTGTTTCTCTAATTATATATACTCCTATTTAGAGACATTTGTTTTCGCCGTCTTATGCACGTACGACATAGAAAATTTTCGTTCACTAGTTTCAATAGTTTGCGTTAGTTTTGATATTAGAGTGATTTAACCTATTATTATTTTTTTACATAATAACATTATCCGTGCTTAAGCGTTGGCTTTTATTCGATATTTTAATTTTCAATCGAGATATGAGCGCGCCCCCACCTAAAAGATATTTATTTAAAATAACCCATAGGGGGTTATATATAAATCAATAAGGGATATTTTTGTAGGTCGGAGCTAAGCCCTCCCCCCTAGTTGCACCAATGGTTAGGTTACCACACGATTAACTCAGTTGCCGTATAGTTGGATACATGACTAAATAAACAGGCATGTCAGCTCAATAACATTGAGCACAAAATGTGATAAAATGTTAATCAGGCTTGGGATAAACCCTACATTACAAATTTTATATTATTCTTTCTATGTCTGGGCCCTGGGGAACATTCACGAGGATTACGAAAATGACGTTTATTTAGTCATGGTTGGACATGCCCAGTAAACATGTCAAGGCTACGAGACGTCAAACATGGGTATATGTAGAAGTCTCAAATGTTTATGAATAATAAAGATCTAGCAGAATACTTCTATTAGACATATAAAACAATGATTATTGTAAATGTATTATTGTTAATAGCATGTTTATGTGTAATAGGCGTATTATAATATTTTATAGCCGCTATAGCTGGAGTGCCTACTTTATACTTTGGGTCTGTGTACTGAGGTTAATTTTATTCTGTTAGTGTGTCCTAGAAGTGTAAGGTGTACATCAAGATTCAAGATCAGCCTTACACCAAAATTGATATTGTAAGATGCCTAAATATCCTTATAAAGATTTTAAATACTTAGGTCGAGATCAGCGTTATAGACAATCAAATGGTATAAATAGGAGTATAAATACCAATAATGGGATACCTAACCCTAATTGGATACACATAATCACTTGTCAGTAATACCCATATAATATTTGCTGCATAAGCTTTGATGGCTTAGTTTTAGTAATCAAATCCATAGTACAGAATGACTCAGAAATCAGTCAAATTTGTTATAAATTTGAAACAGTACCTAATTGATTTGTATTTGAGTCCCATATCATCTAATAGTATTGGAACTTTTTTGTGTGAACATTTATCAGTTGAACTTAAGGTTATTTCACTTAAATCAGTTTCGCACAAGGCAATAAAATTTCCTTTAAATAGTTTAGGCGAATTTGCAGTAACGGTTAGGCTTATTTCAACTAATTTTTGTAGTATTATTGTTTTTATTTAATTATTATTACCAAGGTTGGGCAGAATCGACCTTAAAAGAGAGTCATACAATTATAAAAGAATGTCATGATTCAAAACCAAACTGTTCACATTTATAGGATGTTTTTAGTATGTTTAATATTCTATAGTAAAAAATTTAAAAATATGGGTGGTTCATGGTAAAAGAATCATCCTATATTTATGTTTACCACAATCTGATGAATTTACTGTAGTTCTGAGGCTGTAAATCGGAATATCCCGTTAAACGTACTTGAATCTTTTAATCATATATTTTTTAATTTTATAAGCAGGAAAACTGTGAGTGGAACTGTCAACACTTCAAATACACGAAACTGTGTGGTGATATTTGTAATAGAGAACCTTGTTATGTGCCTTGCACATTAAAGTTGGAAAGACTAAACAATATCATGTTACTAGAACAATTGTATTTGAAAACTGAAAAAGTAGAGAATTATTTGAAAAATAAAGATGGATTTAATTCAAGTCGTCATCAGCTTATTTTGACCAATCAATTTAAATTTTTATCAATTGAAAACCTCATTTTGAACAACACTAATTTTTCAGAAAAACTGGTACAATAAAATATATTTTCTTTTTATTCTATTATAAAATTCCATTATTCATTATCATCAAAATTAAACAAATGTTTTAATAATATTTAGGTATATTTCATTAAAACTATTGGAGGTGTTGATCTTAAGGATCACGTGAAAAGAGCATTCGGTAAATTATTCAAAGATGAATATGCAATAAAAACCACATGGACAGGTCGATGAAAACAAATTGTTACAAGAAATGGAGATTCCGCAATTATCAAAATTGTTAAAAGACCATTTCACAATAATTAAATACATTATAGTCTAATTTTTTTTCTTACAGAGTTAATGTTTTAATTTTCTTAAATTTGGAGTATATCTAATTGATAATTTTGGGTAGTTAGTAGGTAGTTAAGTTTTTATCAATTAGACCTAAAACTGCAATACTGTTATTGGCACTGCTATAGTTATTGGCATGGTAACTTTGTTTTTCATTTAAATTTTAAATAGTGTTCACTTCAATATTTATGAAATAATATACTAATAATGCTATAGAATCTTTAGATTTGTCATTGAATTATTTAAAACTATGTCCAAGTTTAAAGACATAATAAAACGTACTATAAAACGTACCTATTATAACAAAAATAAAATAACTGTGATTAATCATTTTAATTGGTTACTTTCTGTTATTTTTAAGTATGCCCAAGAGTTGACAAATGATCAAAAATGCAATATAAACGTAGAGAGGGCACGTGGTGCAAGAGATTTTAGATTTTGTAAAATATCAAATATCAAATGACAATAGAAATGAAGAATTCTGATACAATCAAAATGAAAGAAATTGTGGATAACATGGTGGTATTAGCTTCATAAATAATAATATTATTATTTATATCGTCGGCTTCCTGCCAAAACTCGGTAACGGCATATTTCACTATTTTGAGATAATGGCGCTATCTAGTGTTAAACATTATTTTCTAACGATTTGAAAGAGACGTCTTAAGTGAAATTCCTACTCTAACCTGTCACAAACTTACAGTTTCTTATTTTCACTAACGGAGAAAGACATAAATATAAAGAGTTAAAAGTCATTAATGGTTTAGTGAGTTTTGGCATAAACAAGATTAATGAAATATTGAGAGCCAAAATTCACTATCGGTAAAAATGAAAATGTAAAATCACAATGACTATGGTATACAACTACTGGTATAAAACTGTTAAACCCCCCAAAATAATTGTGATAAACTGATAATAACATGAATAATATTGATATTATTATTACCTACCATTCTATTAAATTAGAGGCAATTCATTAATAAATTGAAAAATTAAACATAATAGATAAAATAATTGCAAAATTATAATAAAATCAATTGATTAAAAAATTCAAAATTCAAAAATTCAAAATTCAAAATTAAAAAATTTTAAATTAAAAATTTTCAAGTTTGTGATTTTTTCCTTTGTATTTACCTAACTACCAATCTGTATGCCAAATTTGAACTTTCTAGGTCATCTGGAACTGGGTTAGAATTTTGATCTATAGGTAAGTCAGTGATAAAAATGACGATTTTCGGACGTTAATATCTAAATAACGGTTTGAAGTGTATTTATGAAATTTAGAGCACATATGTATCTCGTTAGTCTCAATATATGAGCCAAATTTGACATGTTTATGTGGAATAGTTTTTGAGTTATGAGGGGGTCAAAAGTGGCTCCAAATGGTTCGTGTAATATTACACACGGTGCTGCTCGCCAATTCTGTTAGCTAGAACTTGGCTTGACTATCATCTAGATAGATGATAAATTAATGCCAAAAAAGGTTCCTGTTAATTCTCCTGTGTTCAAGTTTTATTAAATAATAAGAATTCAATGGTCATAAAAAAATCATCACTAATCTGGTTACTTGAACAACACCGGGCAAGAGTTAATAGTGATTGTTTGCTTCGTTTTTTTAACTCTCGTTGTGACCAAGGTGCTCAACAAATAAATAAAATAAAATGTAATCAAACAAAATGTTCAACTCAGTCAGATATTGAAGTCAACACAGATAGTTCTGAAGAAAGTGATATCCAATCAGAATCGACTCCACCAATAAGCCCGTATCAATCTGATGACAGCAATGAAGAGGATAAAGATACACAACAAATCCAATTAAAAATTGAAATTTATTATGCCATTAGATATGATATTAATTGGTACATTGGTAGGTTATTAAACATTAAAAATGACCTAGGTATGCAAGATAAAATTTTTAAAATCCAATCTTGATACAATTGTTTGGCCTAGAAAAGATGAAATCTCATTTATTAAAAAAAAATATATATTTTATGGTCCGTTATATTTAAGTGGTATTGGACCATTTTCGATTAAAAAATTTGATAGGAACAAAATTGTCCAAATATTTAAAGCCATTAAAAATCAATTATAAAACTGTCTACCTAATAAATAAAAGTCGAGGGAAAAGTAATTAGGTACAGTGATGTTTAAAAATATTTATATAAGTATTATTTTATTTTTGTTAAGCTATTGTTACTTAAATTATAGGTACAATTTTATGTAGATAAGTAGGTACCTACAAGTCTCTTAAATATTTTATTAATTAGGTATTTTATTTTAAATTAAATATTGTAAGCATACCTATTTTGATTTGTTTAAATAAAAATTTTACTAAATTTTACTAAGTAAAGAATTTCTAATTTTTGTGAGGAATATGTCAGGAAAGAAACCTTGGTAACCTATTATGAATATAAAAAGGATGACAATTTTTATAATTTAAACCAACATGTTAAAGAGATAATATGTAGGTTGTAAATCATGGTTTGTATATAATTTTTTGCAGATATTGTTTTTTTTTGTATTATTATTTTTAAGTTTTCTAGTCATTACTTGTCATTAGCATTCATCAAATACTAATTAGTAATTAGTAATGTTACATGTATAATTTATATAATTCCTAATTAGGTACCTATAGTTTATAAATGTATAAGTAACACGGAAGTCTAAGGAATTGTAGCAAAGTCGTATGAATTAATCGGAGGTCCAAATAATAACTATTAATTCAATGGAAGTCTTAGGAATTACATGGAATTCTAAGAAACTACATAGAATTCCAAGGAATTACATGATATTACACGGAAGTCTAGGTATGTCGTAGGGAATAATATACGCTGTGGCTAGACCTACGGACACCGTGGATATAATGCGTTCACGGACATTCGGTTTGAGCATGCGCACAAATCATATATTTTGTTATCATGTCCGGGAATATAAGATAATGTAACTACAGAGTCCGGACATTGATAAGATTATTATCATATTATCAATATAAATATAAATTCATATATTATAAATTATGACTATGCGTGTGGGTGATGTTTTTAAAACGTATGCCGATTTCAAAGTGTCTCTAAGTCAATATAAAAAGTCAACTTTTGTTGACTTTTATATAAAAGACTCCAAAACAGCCAAGTCACAAATAAAACGATACCCGAAACTGGCTAATTCTTCCGAGCAGTTGAAGTACTATTATGTAAAACTAGCATGTGTACATGGGGGTTCTTACAGGAAAAAAAATTCTTGTCAAGATCTGCGTAGTACTTCGGAAGTTAATTTTTTTCTCATTTATCAAAATGTAGTCTAGTGAATTTTATGAATTTATATGAATTTTATAGAACAATGCGACAAGGCTGTGAAGCATTCATTTATTTAATTGCTAACGCAAACGGGGATGCGTTAGAATTGACCCGAATGAATGATAAACACAGTCATGAAAAATCAGAAATATTATTTGCACATCTCCCAAATCAGAGAAGAGTTACTCCTCAAGAGAGAACCGAAGTGTTGGAATTAATGGACTTGAAGGCAAATATAAAATTGATTCAACACAAAATGCACAAATTGTGGTTTAGATATTCAAGATTTTCAACCAGGCAGTTCAGAGACCTTACAAGCTCCCAAAGATGATGGTCCACCCTTGAACGATGGTGCTTCAACAAGTCGTTCTCATTCTGATGGTAAATAAAAATATTTACTAATATTTATATATAATAATAATTATATTTATCTAATAGGTTTACAAGACATAAAATTGCCTTGTAAAATAAAAATGTGTGGTCGTCCTGAAGGAGCAACATTGACTACGATTGGGCTCAAAAAAAGAAAGAAAGGGTGTCCAATTGCATTTCGTATGCTACATGACACTAAAAAGCAGGAAATTATGCTTAAATGGCTCATAAATGATACCGAAGTAGTTAAGAAAGCATTGCATCATAGTTTTTTAATAAATGAGAGCGAGATCCTAGAGTTAGATAGAATTCAAACTTCTATCTTAGAAGAAGATGTTGAATTACGTTTAATTCAACCATTTTTTTCAAACAAAGGATGGAAGTTTTTGGAAAAAGCTGTCAAAATGAAAAGAAAAAGGGAAATATGGATATGTCCCAAGTGCAACCTAGACATTGGTTCCAAAAACTCCATTTTATGTGATAGTTGTCTACTTTGGTATCACACAAAATGTGAGATAAAACTTAAATCTAGGGACAAAAATTGTAATTGGTTTTGCTCGATGTGTTCAACTAAATAAATAAATTAAAATGGCTTAAACCATGTTATAACATCCATGCATTTTTAATATTATCAATAAATTAACCTATTTACGGTAAGTACGTCATATATAATAATAATAAGTACCTACCTATCAGCCACAAAATATTATAATAATATTAATTAATAATAATTAATAAAATATCATAATAATATTATAGTAATCACAGGACGTAATGTACACGAATACGGGTAATTTTATTAAACGTACGGACGCTGTAGTTACATTATCTTATATTCCCGGACATGATAACAAAATAAATGATTTGTGCGCATGCGCAAACCGAATGTCCGTGAACGCATTATATCCACGGTGTCCGTAGCTCTAACCACAGCGAATAATATATTAAGACAGTAGAGCTATTATTTTCAAAAATATATATTATATGCATTTTATAAAGGTTTGCCTGTTGGTATTCATATTGGTATTTGATAAATCATTACTAGTGTAGTAAGCCAGCTACTACGGAGTAATACCAATTTCATAAATACATAGTTATTATTATAATATACGATGAATCGGAATTCAGAATTAGGAGTAGTAACATATGACAGTAACAATAAAACCAAATTCCACAGGTGCATAGTTATGATACTATACGGTAGACCGGCATAACCGGGAGATTAGGGAACATAAAAGACACCAGGGTTCAAAAAAATAAGTGGATGAAATATTTTACAGAAAAACTGAATACGACGAAATCAAAATATAAAAGAGTAAAAAAGACTATTTTATAATAATCATAATGTAGAAATACATGCAGCCGTAAATGCGTAGGCCGGATAAATGTCCACAACAAATCACATCCGTGAGAACCGAGATATTGTATATTATGTAGGCAAGGGGTACGGGGGACCTCATATATAAGGGAGCCCGAATCGGCCTGTTTTCAGACGTGTACTACCACCCATTAGAGCAAGCACTTTCACGTCACTTTGTACAATATTAGTTGGACTTAGAAAATTATCGAACAATATAATAAAAATTCACAATAGGTACATTACATCTCATTATTCAACTATCTACCACGACTACAGCATCAAATAAAGTGTCTGCGACCTGCAACTATAACATCTTGGTAGCCACTTATCTACTGTCAACACTACGATAGTAGGTACCTAGCCACCAGATCGTTACACTAGGTAGGTATAGGTAATGCAGTGTATTATTTTTAGGCACTCTTGGACGATGCATTCAGAGTTATAAAAACTATATAGGTAAACAACACAATATGTTTCGTTTCATGTAACAGTTATTTCTGTTTGCGCCGTTACCGATCCTACGATTGTTGCGGTCGTCGGCAACGACTCGCGAACGCGTGAAGACGGTAGCGGAGAAGGGTTACCCAAGACATTTGATTCGAAAATAAAACTTTTGATCTGACGTACAGTGATATTCTTTTGTACTACGCATTCATTAATGACGGTAAAATTACGGGCGCTCAAATATTAAAATCCTCGCAAACTAAATACTACAACGACACGTCGACACCTAGGTAGACAGACAATACAATCTGGCCTGGCCCACCGAACACTGGACTCGTTCATAATAATATGATATTACCTGAATTATTTCCTTGCGACAGCAACAGTTACCGGTGAGTGGTTGGTGGTCCCTCGTCGAAACGGCGACGGCGGACAGGACAAGCGTCTTCGTGGATGTCGGCAATGAAACGAGATATCGCACGAAGTATTGCGGCGGCGGCACGAACGGTGAAGAACGCCGAAAACAGGTACGTGTTCGATTGACGTTTATCTGCTTGAAGACTGCCGGTCGATCGGATAATCGGCAAAGAAAAACGCGTGGTTTCGCACGGAAAGCAAGGAAGCGGGGAACGCACTACAACGATGCGACGGCAACGCTGCACGATGGGGGCACGACAACCGCTTGAAAAAGACAATTGACAAAGCCGGCCGGCTGACGGCAGCTAGGCGAGGCCACCGGCGAATGAGATAACTTGTTGACTGTTGTGCGCGGGACGACAGTGGGGGAGGACCCGCCTGCGCCAGCTCGGAAGAGTCGTGGTGAAACCGTTTCGGCGGCAAAAAACCGTAAAATGTTCAGTGTTTTGGGGAACTTTTGTTTCGCATTTTTTTTATCAATTTCAAGTCGTTTTATTAAATTTTATATCAAGTTAATAATATATTGTATATTGTTTTCATAATATTTTCTATTATAGTTTTTATTATATTATTATTCGTCAGTACCTACCTATCAATCGTCAAACGTTCTACCCATGGTTTAAATAAACAAGGTTTGTCCTACATCCCACATTGTTATCAAACAAAAACAAAATACAGCAGTACGCGGGTCCATATCATGCATATAATATTATCATTCCTATATCAATTTCTTAATGATATAGCTGTTGCAATAACCTTGTACGTTTAAGCCATGGTTCTACCTTCACCCATGTGGCCATGTATATATTCAATATCGTATATTATATTATAACATTAGAAGGAGATTGTATTATGAAAGCAATAACGTCTTATCCGTCACCGAGGAATCGTTGTGCTCGTCCCCCTTATACTCACGGCGTCTACTGAACGTGCAGCGACAGTTACACGACGACGCAACGCTTTTTAAATTAACTTTCCCGATTTCGTATTACGGAGATCGTCGTAATTATTGCCAAAGTCGATACGAGTTTTCACGTTTTATCGTTTCGCCAGAACCGAATTGTTTTTAATATTATTACCTATTCGTTGTTTTTAATCAATTGATAAACGACGCAAACGCGTTTCAACCGACTTGCTAGTTAGTTGGTTAGTTAGTTATCGCTAATGTCGGTTGTACATATTGAGTAGGTACGTTTAATCGTTCAATGATTTGCTCACCGTAGCCCCTGCCTTCTACACTTGCTAAATATTCAAATCGTTTGATAAACGAAACATTGAGGTGTGTTATTCAAGACTCAAGAGCATACTTCTCAATGTCTAAAGGTAATGTATTAATTAATGTATTGTTCGTACAAATAGTAGGTACAATAATGTTAATTAAAATTTAACAGATTTAAATAATCAATTCATGGATTCCGAAGCTGAATATTCATCAACATCACGAATGAAATGACACAAGTTATGATAGTGACGGTGGAAAGAAAAGCCGGAAAAGACGAATCCAAATGGAATAGACATATCAGAAAAAACGTTAAAGAGATTCTAAACAATATATTAGTAGTAAGGGTATTTTATATTACCTACCTACATTAAGTGTGGATGTGTTATTCAAGACTCAAGAGCATACTTCTCAATGTCTAAAAGTAATGTATTAATTAATGTATTGTTCGTACAAATAGTACAATAATGTTAATTAAAATTTTAAATTTAGCAGATCTAAATAATCAATTCATGGATTCCGAAGATGAATATTCATCAACATCACGAATGAAATGACACGAGTTAAGAAAAGTTGGATTTCACAAGTTGAAGCTTATCAAGGTAGCTGATGATTTTCAAAGTGAAGATAGTGATGGTCGAGGTGATGGTGGAAAGAAAAGCCGGAAAAGACGAATCCAAATGGAATAGACATATCAGAAAAAAACGTTTAAGAGATTCTAAACAATATATTAGTAGTAAGTGGGGTAGTAAGGGAAAAATAATTTCGGAAAAAGAATATAAAATTGTTAGTGTAATGCAAAATTTCATAATTTATTTAGAATTGTTAAGGAAAAAAATACTTGATTCATATTACTTGTGAGGAAGTTACTATCTACAAACTTAATATTTATGTAGTCTCATCAATGTTAAAAAAAAAAAAGAAGAAATTATGTTCAAAATCGTTTGATAAACATTGAGGTATCATAATAATAATTTATATTAACTAGGTACCTATAAAATATTACCTACCTACATTAAGTGTGGATGTGTTATTCAACACTCAAGAGCATACTTCTCAATGTCTAAAGGTAATGTATTAATTAATGTATTGTTCGTACAAATAGTACAATAATGTTAATTAAAATTTTAAATTTAACAGATCTAAATAATCAATTCATGGATTCCGAAGATTCACAAGTTGAAGCTTATCAAGGTGGCTAATGATTTTCAAAGTGAAGATAGTGATGGTGGAAAGAAAAGCCGGAAAAGACGAATCCAAATGGAATAGACATATCAGAAAAAAAACGTTTAAGAGATTCTAAACAATATATTAGTAGTAGGGGTAAAATAATTTCGGAAAATGAATATAAAATTGTTCAGTGTAATGCAAAATTTCATAATTTATTTAGAATTGATTAAAGAAAAAAATACTTGATTCATATTACTTGTGAGGAAGTTACTATCTACAAACTTAATATTTACGTAGTCTCATCAATGTTAAAAAAAAAAGAAGAAATTATGTTAAGAATTCACGTAAAAAGTAATTATCTAGTTCTAGTAGGTAGTATTATCTAGTAATTAATTTATCTTACTATTATATTAGATAATATAGTAGGTAGCCATTAGTAAATACTAAATACGTTTAAACACTCATCAAAATTATATTAGACTTTCCGCAAAACTTTTTTTTTTTATTAAATATGCAGAAAAAATGACTTAAATTACATAGAACAACTTTTTATTTACACACAACGTTTTTTTATTAATAACAACAACTTCCGAGGGTTAAACCACTATGCTAATCAGTGTACAAAATTTTGTTAATCATGATAATCTTAAGATAATCATGATATACATGTGATAATCATGATAATCTTTGTTAACCACACAGATTTCTATATAAAAATATATTATATGGTCAATCATTATTAAATTTTGATTATCATAAATGTATAGGAGAATTTTACTTTCATATGAACCCATGAACTTATTATGTACCATGGTTGAATTGCAGAAAATAAATCCCCGACTCTAGGAAAAAAATCCTGAGACTACAAGATTACTTATAGGTATATTATCAATTAAATGCAACAGAAATCGATGAATCAAACCTTAACTAAATAAAATGTTACATTGAAAATATGTCTAGATTAATTA